GTCGCACGATAAGGAATCGCCTTGTCTGAAACCTCATTTGGTATCGAACGGCTCGGAGAGGTCCTTCCCGATTCTGACGGAGCTTTTCGTGTTGCTCAACGTCAGCTTACACAGCCGTATAAGTTTTTCAGGGATCTCTCATCCGAGGCTGTTGTTGGGGGTGGTTTTTTTTACGTGGCGGGTCCCAAACTCAGCGCACAACCTTATGCAGGGAATGTTTCGCCTTCTCACTTTAGCTCACCTCCAAACGGATGTTCTTAGGCTTTTTACGGCTTTTAGGATTTTTTTACAGTTACATCACAATAAGTGCTACTTTATTTAAATATAATAACTATAATGCTGTCTTTTCAAAAACTTAATATTTGAACTAAGATATCTGRTCAAAATTAATTACTTCATTTTCAAGACCGAATTTGAACATTTCATTTGAAACATTTCACGAATTTAAAAACATATGTATAAAAAAAAGTTGTGCGGTCACCACTTTCGGCTAGGCTGAAAAATAATTTGCATCACAGGCTTTGTCAGGAAAGTAATAGGAATGAGTTGATTTAAAAAAAAATTATTGAACCAATCGTTACAATTCTTTAAAAACTTTCCAAATGCTCTCCTTCTTCGTCGATGCAGCCGGCTTGTGCCACTCGGAAGATTGCCTCTTTGTCTCGGGATCATACACGAAATCCATTTTTCGTCATTCTTTTAAAAACTTGGCGCATTTTACGTCGAGACCTTAAATGACTTGCGTACAAACTTCAGCTTTCGCAAGAGCTTGCGCTTAAGTTTGTCAGGCGACATCGCTTCGCTCTATGCACTATTGAAAAGATCTAAGAAGATCTACCTCCTCCTATAAAGCCATCTTAAAGGTGGAAGTATGTTTCAGGTATTCATACTTAGGGAGTTATGACGCATTTACTACGATGAGAGAAAATGCATAATATTAAAATTCTTAATTTATTCTTCAAATTCTATATCATCCTTTCAAAGTATTCCCCTTTGATCCCAATACAATTTTGCCAATTTTCTTCCAATCCTCGAAACAGTTCTTAAAGTCCAATTGTGGAAGAGTTTCCAAAGCGCGTAGCGACTTACGTTTAATGTCTTAAATTGACTCAAAACCGTTTCCCTGGAGCAATCGTTTGAATTTGCAGAAAGGCCGGAAGTCATACGAAGCTAAATGGGGTGAATTCTTTATATACGGAATACAAAACGTTATCGTGACGGCTTTTCTCAACATTTTGAACGTTGCGGCTCCAGATATTTAATTTCTCACACAAAATTTAATGAAATTTTTAATGATGTGGTAACCTTATGACTTCTGTTAAGGACCTCTTTTATTCCCGTACGCAAAACAAAAACTAATAGGGCTACGTGTTTTAACACCTGAAGAAACGTTCGAAACGTTTCACATACGTGCGCGTAAGTTGATGGCATAAGTATATGAGTATTGATGCTCTTGTGATTATCTAGCTTCCTGCGCTTTTGCCAAATTGCGAATTGACTTCAGCAATGGCCGAGAGGGAAAAATTGTTGACAACTGCGGCGGGCAGAAAAGTGTGATTGATTGTTGTTTTTTTATAATTCTAGGAAATTTGTTGTAATTTACATACAAGTATACATTTGTATAAAAGTTTTCTTGACCAAAGGTTTGCGTAACTGAGTTTACGCAAATGATAATATAAGTACGCATACTTAAATACTATGTAAATGTGTAGAGAACTTTAGTGCGAAAATGTTTGAGGCTTATTTCATAAAAAATATTCGCTGTAAATATAAAAGGATTGTTTAAAAATGTAATAAATACGTTATTGATGGAACAGTTTGGAACCAAATATTTTTCTTTTTGTGGAATATTCTCAATTTCGTTGTTAGGAACGGCAAGGGCGCATTCATGTTGAAGACTGAATACCTGGAAATTACAGTAACTGAATCKTACTGAAGTAATTTCACGTTTTATATAAAACTTACCAGGTATCGTATAATGAGCGCGGAACTTTTTTCGAGCTGCATAGACATTCATGTTGATATCCTTTGCAATTACATTTAATATTCCTAGTCATTATATTGCCGACAGTTTTTGTGGGAGGCTTCTTACTCTTGCCACCACATGAAGAACATGGCTGTTCATCCTCGTCTATATTCCGAGACTTTGARTCTGATATATATTTACTATAAGCTATGAAATCATAATCATAGTTGTTCTTGTACAATCGATTTCGTTCTGCAAAATCATTGTAATTAGTGAAGCTTCTTTTTTGTTTGGAGCTTTCAATAAATGCTTAGTAAGAAAACAATAGAAATAGAAAGGGATCGATTTTGATTAGCAAAGATTCTATTTCTGGTGTCAAATTTAGTTTACCATTCAGTTTATGATGGTGATCTGCAATATTTCTCCCAAATTGTTGCCGTTTAGGCAGAAATTTAGGTGATTGTCGATTTTGAAACTTTTTGGGGAAGTTTTTAGCAGTTTGCGGGAATACTTTTGAATTGAAATGTTATTAGTACTTTATTTTTGAATAAGTTCAATTTTCTTACAATATTTTTCATAAAATCTGTTGGAGTCGAATGTATTTGTTTCTCTTCTAGAAATGTCTTGAAATATGCCCCGGTTCATGTTCTTTAAAAATATTCCGGATCTGAAAATATTTTAGAATTATGGTTTTGTTATATATAAATACGTAGAGATCTTAAGATTGGATTAATAAAAGAGTAAATATCATTGAGTTAATTTGATTATATTACTTTTAAAGAGGCTTTACATCAATAAAGCAGTCCAAATTTTCGAACCACTGTTTATGAAACATTAATATTTAAATAAAAAATTGATTTTCCGTATTATGAAAATAACTTCCAGAATACCACTTTAAGCCCTCGAACTTAGAACTGCAATTTAATGAAAAAAATTATAAATAATTGTAACTTCCATAGTTACGAATTAAGTAAAAACTGGCCCTTTTATCAAAATTCTGTAATACATAAAATGTTTTCGGACAAACTGATAGTAAAGGGAAAGGACAAATGTCAGATTTACAAAAACAAAAACACAAAAAAATCTTATATTTATACAAGKATTAATGGACCTTTTGATCAGGAATTAATTTCTTAATAAACGGCGATTGTTCGATTAAAAAGCTAATTTAGATCGATTTACTGTACAAAACAAAAACCTTCTTATACTACATTTATTCAGATATATGGTAGTTTTTACATCTGCAGGTTTCTGTTTAATCTGTATGTTTGGGTGTGATCATTGATATAAACTACAATTAAAAAGCTGCTGATTAAAAAAACCCATCGTTCATCGAGTAGCCTGTGTGGCTGTGAGAAACCCAAAAACTGTTTTCTTAATTATAATCTTAATGTACTAAGTTAATTTGGGTGTAAGAAAAGGCACAGAACGTCATTTAGACGAAAATCCTTATCGCGGGATTTTCTGGTCTGATTTCAACTTAATTCAACGAATTGGACGAAATCATTTTAAACCGACCCATTTTACACGAGTGTTAATAGTAAAAAGCTTTGTAAGACTTTGATCGAAGTTTTTAATTAAAAGCAAAATAGCTTTTAATATCATGCGGTAAGTTCAAGTGAAACAAATAAACCTTTGAATAAATCGATCTTCGCTCTTCATTAAGCCCACTCTATTTGGCGTTGATCTTTTAACCTTCGAACGAAAATTTTGTATCATATTATAMAACCAAGAACCCTACTCCTAAATGCAAACACTGGCAAATTCTTGACCTTACAAAAAAACGCTGCACTAAGATATGTGACATATGTGCATTACCAACACTCAATCCCTCACTTTGTACTCGCACTCTCTGTGTAAATTGTTCTGCTTAACACACAATTTCAAGCAAATTGTGTCCAGAGTCCATGCAAATCAAAAAAATAATAACAATTAAAAAAGATAATAAATGCTCATTTCACGAAGCAGTTAATATTCATAAAGCACAAATAGCATAAGTTTTAATTCTTCATCCTCTTCATTCACTAACATACTGAGCAATCCGACAAACATGCAAGTAGATCTCTTTAATAACGAACTAAATTTCCATATAGTAGCGGATATCTCTCCCTCAATTCCAAATTCATTTTCACCATCTAATTCTAAAACAAATAATAAAGAAAATAAAACAACCATAGTAAACGCAACAAATTCAGCGTACTCTCTCCCAACATTAAGTGTATTCAATGATCCACAACTCCTTTTGATTATTCTACAACAACCTCACTCATTTCCAACGTCATCCCGTCACCCGCTTACCCACCAAAAACCCCAAGATAGAATCAGGTCAGGTGTATTTAACAAATACCCAGATTTAAAGAACTCATAAATGAATTATCACCACATATCATTGCATTAGAGAAAACACAGCTTCCAGTAAATAGAACATCATACGCGCCTCACAAATACATCGGTCRTTTTCATAATTTGCAAAAACAAAGATGGAAGTTASCATTGTTTTAAAGTTTTCGATAATGTCATTGTATATCCCTCCGCATTAAAAGTTTGACCCAAGTGATCTTATATATATCACAAACGCTGTTCCTCCACTCACCATAATCATCGGAGATTACAATACTTTTAGTGCACTATAGAGATTCACTCCCTCAAACGTAAGAGGTCAAATAATATAATATAAGACTAGCCCTAATGRTCACCAACCAACTTCTCTACGCATAATTAGTTCACCCATGTAATTTTTCGTTACGCCCATGCAACATACGATTAAACCGGGATCAAAATTTCTTATAGAAAATGCCAATTGGCTTAAATACTCCTCCTTGATTAACACAATTACAATTATTATAATAACGTCAAACTCATTTATCCATTCCTCAAACAAACACAAAAAAATGTACCACCAWACTCCTGTATTGGTTCAAGCTATTAACCAATCTAACAAGAACAAAGCAATAACTTTGGAATCCATTTAAACAAAAATAGAACCACAGAAAATTAAATTTGAATAAAGAAAATTTTGATTTTACTATCAGCAAAACATCCCGAAAAACACCTTGATCAGACAAAATTACTTACCCCCTACTAATAAAATCTTCCGTACTCCCTAAAAGTCGGACTAATAACTTACAATAATGTATTAGAACAAGGCTACCTCAAGACTCGAAAAAAAACTGTTATTATTCCCATTTCTAAATCAAAAAACTCAAATACCTCTATCGCTGTCTTTGATTCCCTGTACAACAAAAGTTCTGGAAAAAGTCATTTCAAAGATAATAATGTGGTATACCGAACAAAATAAATAATACACCCCAATCAGTTCGCTTTTCTTGGTGGACTTGGTGTCGTTGAACACTTCGCCTATTCAACAAAAACCACTTATCCGTCCTCAGTCTAGACTTTGAAAAATCTCTTGATGAAATCGGAGCCCATACAGCACTACAAGAACCAAAAAAAAAAATTAACCATTGGAAACAAAATGTATAATTTTATAAAGGCATTCCTTTCAAATCGTAAGTTATTAGTAAGTGTTAGTAACATTATTTCGCCTATACAAAATGACATACCACAAGGATCTCCTCTCTCAGTAACGCTATTCATTGTAGCCTTTAACGAACTCACCAACTTAATAGCCTCAAACCGCAACGTTGACTACCTTATCTACGCTGAGGATTTCTTAGAACGATGTCAAAATCAGTTTTACTAATATACTAACCGACATAATGCAATGGTCTAAAGTGACAGAAACCAAGGTTGCTGCTAACAAAAGTTCAACATTTCACATCCGCAGGAAAAGAAAGTGTTACTTCCCTAACCTTTCCCTTGAAAACGTTCAAATCTCTACTACTAACGCTTTAACCCCTTGACATATTTCCACGTGGTACAAATTTTGTGCCGAACATGATTGTTACTAGTCAGACTCGCAGTACAATTTCTGTGCCTAACATGATTACCACGATTCTGACTCGTGGTGCGCAGAAGTGTACATTTGATGAAAACAGAATTGAAATATTCCCGTTATTTTAAGCTAATATTGGTTGTTTATTTGGTCGGCRTTCATACTTGTTTGTGAGGCAGATTTCGCAGTCTTGTACTTCTTTTTTACAAGCGGCACGTATGTTTGGCCAGTAGTATCTGAGCGCGATTTCCTGTGCGTTATTTTTGTAGCTTCTGTGAGCACGTCTGTGTGTGTGTCTTGTATGATCTSTTCTTGTTGTTCGGTTTCGGTAATATCGTCCACCAATTTTTGCGCTAGTACAATCGATACAGTTGGAAATGTGTTGATAATGTCATTTTCGACGTAAAATAACATTTGCTCGTCTATTTGCAGAGCAAAAGTTATCTTTGGACTAATTACATTTTTTAGTCTATCTAGTAGTTCAGTTATCGTATTAAAAAAGAATGTGTGTCGGCTGTTASAAAATATTTTTTGTGAAAATATTTCGACGGGGTTATGATCTGACCGTTTTACAATAATTTTGTTTCTAAAGGAGTTTACTGGTTTTTTTTTCTGATATGGAGAATATTAGAGATTGTTTTTCGGTGTATATTGTTAAATTTGCTATACCATRCAAGTAGTTACATAGTTTCTGTAGTGACCACACAATTTGCGAGTAACTCTTTCTCAGTTGTGGAATAATTCTGTTCTGTTTCACTGAGCGTTCGTGAAATAAATGATATGGGTTTTTGGTTTTGAGATAATACGGCTCCTATAGCGTAATTGCTCGCATCTGTGGTTAATTCGAAAGGTTTGTTAAAATTTGGTTGGAAGAGTTCAACCTGGGCTTACAGATCTTCTTCTATTATTACAGTTCAGGACTTCTAATGCAGGTTCACCTAAAGTGATTTTTATTTTTGCACTTTGATTCTTTGATACGCCACCGTTCTCTCCTCTGATGAACGTAGTGAGCGGTTTGACGATGACCTAGGAAGGATCTGAGTTCCTTCAGTGTTGTTGGAATAGGGACATTTTTAATAGACTGTATTATTGTTGGGTCGACTGTAATCTTGTTGTATTTAATTATATGCCCTAAGTATAGTATTCCACAGTGTCTTTGAAAAAATGAGAATTGTTGTTAGAGATTTTCTTATGTTCTTCAGGAGAGGAAGAATAAATGAGAACATCGTCTATATAGACGTACGCGAACTTCCTTATATATGTTCTAAGGATATCATCCACGCATCTTTGAAAGATAAATGGGGTATTTTTCAAGCCGAACGGCGTACGAAGAAATTCGTACTTAGCTCCATTTACACTAAAACCTGTTCTTTCCCTGTTTGATTTATTAATAAGGACCTGATGGAAGCCGGACTCTAAGTCTAGAGTTGAAAATACTTTTGCGTTTCTGTATAGTCATAGCCATATCAGGTATGGGATATCTATCGGTAACAGTTTGAGTGTTTAGTTTCTGAAAGTCTACGACCATTCTGCGCTTACATTTTCCTTGATCATCGGTACCTTTTTTTGCGACTGTCCAAATACGACTTTTGCTGGATTGAATTACTTAATTTTCTAAAAGTTTGTTAATTTCTTTGTTAATGAAATCGCTATTCGACGTAGGGTACGGATATTGCTTGGTCCAAATAGGATCTTCGAATTTCGTTGTAATGGTTGCTTGTACCGTGGTATTATATGGTAGCACTTCATTTGTGTCTT